CTCATTGCTATCTGTTTATCAATAAAACTTTGGAAAAAAAATAAAAAAAATAAAAGAATGAATCACAAACTCCAGAAGCCACCCCATGACTGCATGAGGCGTTGGGGGAACACCTATACGCAAACCATAACAGCCACTTATGCTTTACCATATAAGCCAGCAATTAGATTCCTTGATATTTACCCAAATAAGCTGAAAAATTCATGCACACATAAAACTCCATACATAGACATCTATAACTGCTTTATTTGTAATTCCCAAAACTTGGAAGCAATTGAGATGCCCTTCAACAGGTAAATGGATAAACTTAGTAAACAACAGGTACTATTCAATGAAAGAAAAATGAGCTAGCTATCCAGCTATAAGGAGACTTCTGTTGAAAAAATGACACTATGTAATTCCAATTAGATGACAGTCTAGAGTAAATAGATCATTGCTTGTGAGGGACTGGGGGAAAGGATGAACAGGTAAATTACAAAGGATTTTTTTAGGGGAATGAAACTACTCTATATGATACTATAATGATAATGTGTCATTGTACATTTCTCAAAATCCACAGTATATATACCACCAAGAGTGATCTCCTCCGTAAACTCTGGACTTTGAATGACAGCGACACACTACTGTGCATCAGTTGCAGCAAATGCACCACTGTGGTGCCAGATGTTGACAGGAAGGCTGTACCTGGATGACAGTGTGGCGTGTATGAGAGCTCTCTGTAGTCTCTATTCAATTCTGATGTGAATCTAAAACAACTTTCAAAGAGTAACGCCTAATCAGAAGAGAAAAAAAAAAGCCTTCATCAAATGGTGAGAAATAAGAAATGATGGTGGTTGTTTTAAATCACCAAACTCTACAGCAGTAGACAGCTAAGACATCATGCATGGAAGACGGCGAGTCACTGCTACTATCCATTCTTGCTTTCTTTGATAATAGAACCCTTAGTTTGGGCTGAATAAATGCCTTCCCAACCAAAGATTATATGTCCTAGCTTCCTCTTAGCAAATGTGGCCACCTGAGTGACCACACATGGACATAATAGATGTAATGTAAGTAACTTTCAGGTCATGCTCTACTAGGCAGAGGGCTGTCCCCTCCTCCCTTCTGTTCCTTATGCTACAGAAACAGCAAACATGACAGCTCAAACAGCCCTGCTATGTGAGGTGTAAACACCAGCTAAGGACCTCGGAGGACCCAGGTAGGACCTAGGGAGCTATCTAGACACCAGGCCAGCCACAGAACACAGTGATCTTGGATGCTTCATGTGTGCTGCCAAGCCACTCGGTGAGCTCTGCTAAAGATTACATGTGGAATGGAGAGAAAAACCAATCCTCAGCAAGCTCCCTGATCTATAAGATAGTGTGTTACCCTTTGGGCAGGGGCCTCCCAGTCATGCTTCCCAAAACCTACTGCCATTTTATTTCATTTAGTTTCGGAGCTGGGGATTGAACCCAGAGCCTCAAGCACACTAAGCACTTGTTCTACCACTGAGTTATACTGTCAGTCCCCACCTTTGCCATTTTAAATGACCACTGTGGATTTTAACACACTCCTCTACCTTTAAGACAAGGTCCAAACTCTTCAATGATGTACATAATGTCTTTCAGGATCTATACCTGCTTTTTTATCTGAGCCCCACACTTTCTAGTCCCTCAGCCCCTTCCTTCCAGTCCTGTTGAGTGGCTTGTGGTTCCTGGGTCACTCTTGTCTTCCCCTGTCCCCTGTACCACTGCACACACTTACCTACACATCTGCAGACCTATCTCTGTCCTCGGCTACTCAGCACTCCTCTCTACTTGGTTAGCTCCTCCTAATAGCTGGAAAGGCTGGAATGTATGGAGCTCAGTGGTACAGGACATGTTCAACATGCAAGACCATGGGTCTGAACACAACAACAGAGAGAGGGAGAGAGGGACTGAGGGAAGGAGGGAGGGAGAGGGAGACAGAGACAAAGACAGAGACGACAGACAGACAGACAGACAGACAGACAGACAGACAGACAGACAGACAGACAGACAACAGAAGAAGCTTCTCCAGGAGATGAAGCACAGAACCACCTGAGAGACCAACCACTGAGACCAGTAACTTCACAGACTCAGAGGTCATTGATCCAAACAATTCAAGACCTGGAGAGGCAGGTGAGGCCCAAGTCACCCTGGCCCTGAGAATCTTCCACTCTGGGTCTTAGCCACTGCTCCTACGGCTGAGACTCAAGACTCAACACTGCAACTTAGAAGAGACGTCTGTTTTCACTCACATTTCATGGTCAGGCAGCTGGGCAGAGCAATACAGCGAAGGTGCGCACTCAGGCGAAGGCTGCAGGAAGCAGCGTGAAAAGGGTGGAGCCGAGGCGGGGCTTTGTCCTACCGGTCCCGGGCCAAGCGTGACAGCCTCTTCCACAGACTGCACCCCCTTCAGTGCCCACTGCCGTGCAGCCAGCCCCTGAGAGCATGAGGCTCCTAAGGGACGTCTAGTTATAAACCTCCACCTCCCTTCCTTTCTGATGGATGCGGAAAGTGGGGCGCTTTACCTCTGGAGGCTCTGTAGACTTCATAAAAGGAATAGAAGTGGAAGCCCAGGGACGCAAACAGGTAGAGAGCCATTTCCCATCGGGGCAGCATGGCACCTTGGCGCGACGGTTCTCAGCACGCACGGTGAGTTTCTAAGAAGAGGAACAGAGACAAAGCATGAGGCAGGACAGCAGAAAACGTGTCTTCTCTTCAGTTGGTTCGCACTCCCAGGGACGTTTAAGATCCTGAACGACAAGGACAGAACCCGGGTCAATGTTCCTCCACCTACCACTTTGCCTCCTATCCCTAGCCAACATACCACACACACACACACACACACACACAGAGTCCTCGGAGTGGATGGCTCCCCAAGGGTCCACACTCTTCTACCCCAGAGTTCTCTCCTCCCTTATGACATACTCGTCTTCTCCTCTGAGTGGAATACTGGAGAGAAGCACCATGTTTTCTGACTCTAGGTGAGTCAGAAACTCTTCCCTTTCCCTGGGACAGCCAAAAGGAGGGAGGCTTTGATTGACAGCTGCACTGGGGGCTGTCCTAGATGTCCACAGCAGCCCCGGGCATCTCCTGTATCTTCCATGGCCACGCAAAGCTTGAATTTGGACCAATCAACAGGCTTAAATCTAGATTAGGCTCGAATTTGGACCAATCGCAAGCCTGTTGCCATTTAAACACTTATTTGTTTGGTCTATAAGGGCGTCTGCTAGTATTGACCCTTGTGCAGCAGCACAGACCTTGTCCAAATAAACCCTTGCTCTAGTTGCCCTATAAATCTGCTCACTTATCTCTTCAGCAGTGTGTGCTTGGAAGGTGCTATAAAGCTACCTGAAATTCTTATCCTGGATAGTGCAGCTTGAGTGAGGCTCTTTAAACCTAAGTCTCTGGATGGCTGAAGCAGAACTGCCAAGTTTGAGCCCACCCTGGGCAATGTAGTGATTTAGTCTCTGTCTCAAATAGAAAAAGGCTGGGAATGTAGCTCAGTGCAAAGGCCCTAGGTTTTATCACCAGTAAAGCAAAAAAGAGAAACAGACAGACAGACAAAGGGCTATAAATGCTAGCACTTCTGAGTTCCAGAAACCTACAGCACAAATCCACACACACAAAAAAAGAGCTGGAGATAGACAGCTTCAGGCAGAGGCAGTAACTGGTGATGGCAACTGGTTCCGCCTAGTGTCAGTCAGCAGCATCCAGTGACGACAAACAGGGATATGTGGTGTTCCATGAGATCCGTGGTGACTCACTGCTGAGGTGGCTCACAGCTGTACCAGCTCTCACCCCTAAGGCAGGAGGAGCTGTTGTACGGAGCACCTAGGCCGAGAGGCAGCTGGAAGCCCAGCGTGGCAGCAGCAAAGCCCGGAACCTCTAGCAGAGCTGCGCTGAGTCATAGTTTCTGCCTGCATGGAGCAAAAGAGGCCTCAACTAAATGGCAAGACCAGCGCATGGCAGTGCGCCTGGAATGCAGCAAGAAGGGTGACCAGGCTCCAGTCTCGACCAACACAGGCCACCTGTGAGTCACAGGTGCCTTCAAAAGCCTGAAAAGCACAAATAACCTCCAAGCTTCTTAGAAGCTAACACCCTCATTGTCTTCAAATGCCACCTTACAAGTATAAATCATAAGGGAATAATGGAACAGCTCTGCTTTCCACGCATCTGTACTTTTTTTAAAAGAGAAAAAACAAATAATAAAGCTGAAAGGAGCAGATTAGCAGAATAGTTACAATAGTTGACACATTGCATATTGTTGTTTATATTAATCAGAGTACAAGATATAGGCATGATATATTGTCTAAACAATACTAGTACTATAATAGTTGATTGTGTCAACTTGAGTTTAGAAATTTAAGGGACTCAACAGGGAGCCAGGGTCCTTACTTTGTAAACATCCTTATTCTATGCAAGAGGAGGGCAAGTGTATGAGCGCCACACCCACCTGAGGTGGGGGCTTAAGCCTACATACAATGTAAGGGAGGAAAGAGGCTCACTTTCCCCTTTTGCTCTTGTTACTTCTGTCTTCTGCTGCCCTGAAATGTTGCCCCGGGCCAAGCCACTCTGCCTTGGAGCCGGCTGACTTGGGACTGAAACCTCACACACCATGAGCTGAACACACTTTTCTACCCTTAGCTTTAGGTGTCAGATATTTTGCCTCAGCAATGAAAGAAAAATAATCAAGATAAGCCCAATACATTCTTTTTAAGGAATTAAGCTCAGCTATAAAACTATCTTAACTATCTTGTGTATACATGTTTTTCTTTTCCCCCTTACTCCCTTTCCCCTTGTCCCCATCATAGTGTGTCTTTTCTTTTACAGTTTTTTCCCAGTTCACAATATCTATTGCATGTTTTGGATCCTATTTTCTTGTTTAATTTCTCCCAATACTGAGATGATGCAGTGTTTACACATATGGGGTCTGATTTATGAGTATGGTGTCAAGGTGCATCCATTTACCTATAAAAGTCTCCAGTTTATCCTTCTTTATGGGCATCTGTACCTTCTAAAGCATAGTTAATTTGACACAACCCATGCAGATAAAGTGACACTGCTAGTATCCCCTCTCTAATAGTCCCTGCTCTTACACAGTAGTTGAGTTTTTGTTATGACACACAGATGGTGAGTTCAACACTACACTCCAGCTGAGTATGGGCCCTTGAATAGTTCTAGCAAAAGGGAAGGATGTGTAAGGATGTGAGGCTGTGGTTCTCCCTTTTTCAATCAGAGATGAGACAGACATTTTGGATCAAGAAGTGAAAGGCAAGGCAAAAAGCACCTCAGTCCCCAGCTCCCTGAACTACCCCCACCAAAACTCACCCTGGACCATGTCTACTTGGACTGTAACATGGAAGGTTTATACCTCCAATAGTCCAGATATCTGTCAAGGCAGCCACTTCTAAGTTGTGAGTACTGGAGAAGCAGGTAATGGAAAGTTGGGTTCTAATATTCTGCAAATTAAGTGATCACAAATGGTTCCCAGTAATAGAGTTAACTAAAGTCCTTTTATGGGTCTTACTGCATTACTTAAGTACACCTCATTGTGGTGGCAAAAAAGAGCCAAATTTTAAGCGCCAGGTAAGCACTTCTGACATGACAGTTTACTGCCCCAGCAGTCACAGGCTTCCTCATTTTGTTTCACAGCAGGCAGACAGAGCCAGGGAAGATTCCAGGTCAATTCCAGACACACGCCTAGGTACTGCCATTGCCAATCAGTTGAGGGTTCTCTTGCTGAACTCAGGCAGAAGTTATGAATCATCAAAGTACAGCTCTGCTAGAGGCTCCAAGCTTCTACCTGGTAGAGCAAGAGGAGCAGGCATTTTATAGGTAGTGCAAGCAAAGCAAGGCAAACAGGCATAGGTGACAAATGGTACGAGGTCACACCACCAGAAACTGCTGAGCCAGGACAGAAAGACAAATAATCCACAGTACTAAGGAAAAGAAATGCTATATATTTAGAAATATATCTACAGTTTTTCAAATGCCCAAGCCCTTAGTTTCCCCAAAACTCAAAAACATTCTGAAGTTTCTATTTCTTGTTCTCTAAACAACCATACTCTTTCTTTAGAAGATATCATGACTAAAGATAGAAAATGTGTTACCACAGATCTTAGCAAACTCAGCATATGATTCCTTTTTTAATTAAGAATTCTCTGTGCTGGGGAGATGGCTCAGTGGAATAAGCACTTGCCTGGCAAGGACAGGGGCCTGAGTTCAATCCCCAGTTCCACCAAAAAAAAAAAAAAAAGAATTCTCAACTTTTCAGTTAAAGAAAACATTCTGTGGCTTCTCTGGTATATCTGAATTGCCATGATTGCTATTACATT